CTCTCTCTCTCTCTCTCTCTCTCTCTCTCTCTCTCTCTCTCTGTGTATGTGTGACGTCATTGCTGTGCGCCGAGCCAGAGACCGTTGGAAGGTCAATCCGTACGACACACAGCGGGAAAAGCTGCTGTGATTTGCTGGCAACATATTTAGGTTAAGCCCATCTCTCGAGCGGAAATCTGTGGCTGGCTTAAAAGGTGCCGCAGCCACTGATAAAAGAGGGCGCATTAATCAGTGCGCTGAGTGTTCAAGTTGTTGCTGTTGTTATTGTGGTTGCTGCCTTTATTGTTGGTGTTTTGGGTCAAGTGGCTTGAGCCTGCCCGTTTGACCTTTGTTGTTGCTGTTGTTGTTGTCGCATCCTTTGGCCTCACTTCTGTTGCAATTGTTTCGTGTCCTATGGGACAAGGTTGCGAACCTCTCGCGATTTCACATTCAAATTAGTTGCAAGCGCTATTTATAAGCACCACCAGCAGCCACTTGAGGGCGTGCCAAAGGCTGGCTGCCCATCATCATCAGTGGCCGCATTATGCAAGCCACGCGTTGGTCGCGAGCGTCGTCCAAATGTCGCCGCTTGTTTTCGGTGTTCGCTGGTTATTAATAAATTGGCAGTTGCTCAGGCCGGTGGCCAGAGAGGTGCCAAGGGATGTGCAACTAATGCATATATAAATAAATCAATCATTGCCTCAAGCACTCAGCTCAGACTCGATCAATAATGCATGCGGCATACGTGACGTATACGCAATATATATATATATAGTTAAGCATATGTATATATTTAGTATTTAAATGTGAAATTAGTTGAACATGGCTGACCGCACAGTCCTCTGACGTGGCATCAAGTGGTGCATGGCGATGCTGTGGTTGCTTGTGGTGCTGCGGTGGTGCATATATGAATGTATGCTGCAGCAATGCAGTACGTCAACGAAGCCGACGTCGACAATGACGACGACTGAGACGCAGCCCTGACCCAGTTAGCTGCCTTTCGTTAGCTTCCGCCGACAGCACACACACACACACGCACACACACCTCTATTCATTTACATTCATGATGGCATATAACGACGTCACATTGGAAACCTTCGTCTGTGTGGTCAACCTGTGGTCGAGCTGCGTGCAGAGTATTTTCTTGAAAGCCTAAAACCGGCTATAAAAATTCTCAAGCATTTGACACGTCCAGCTGCTGTCTGTCGCACGTTACACACGGCGTATACGCAATAAATGCTTTTTATCGAGCTCGATGAGCAAATCAATTTATGCTGCAGCCCGATGGCATATCCTTGCACTTTATCTAATTGAAAGCGTGCGTCAGCGGCCCTCTCTCTCTCTCGCTCTCTCTCTCTCTTTGTCGCTCAGGTTCAATGCCCTGCTTTGCATAGAAGTCGGCGTGCCGCCTGGGCTGGGTTTCTGTTGTGCGCTGCCTCAGGCTTTTTTTCAAGGAAGTTCACTGAGGCATGGCAGAAAAAACGAAATGTGTTTTTCGGGCTGACTAGCTGAACGATTACATTAGAATATCTCTCTTAAGGCTGAAAACAAATTTCGAGTGGTTTTTCTTTTTGTTTGCTTGGTTCTCATTCTTTTCTTTTTCAAGTCAGTTGTTTATTTTGATGTATACCCTGTGCTGAGATTTTAAGAGGGCATGAGGTTTATTTAAATTGAGTTCTATCTGCTGGGGTCTGAGATGAAATCTGCTTTCGTCGAGATATTTATTCTCGTCGTTTCTGTTGAGTCGATCTACTGGATTTCCTTAGAAAAGCCACTTTGTGTGTTTGCTCGTGCATTATGATAATTTGTCTTGAATTGCGACCTGAATATTTGTGCATATATACAAAATATATATAGTGTTATTAAATATATTATAATAGATATCTTATTTGAATAAATATGTAGTTATCTGTGCTGTATATCTCAAAAGATTATATATCATTAACTAGAAAACGAAAGTTCTAATGGGTTCACATAATATGATATAATATTATTCTCTATGAATCCGTAGGTTTCAATAGTCAATGTTTAATTTTTAAGTTAGTTTCTAATGTGCCGTAATATCTATATATACCAATTACTATCTATTTATTAGGTTTGTTATTACAGCTCTCGATTCTAGAAAAAAGTAGAAAATTCTCTCGTATTAAGTCTCACTGAAAAACAGTTCCTGTGCTCAAAAAAACGACGCCATGGCAATTGCCTAAATCAACAAATTTTATACATTAGCTTAAGCACAGGGTATCATATGAGTACATCATATAACCACACATACTTCATATACAATTAATTTATATATATTGCTATATGTGTGTGAGTTACCCATATATATAAGTATATATGTACATATGTATTTACATTTCTGTACC